TTTCCAGAAGCCTTTTTAGCCAGATTATCTGCTGTTTCATTTCCTCTCACTCCTTCATGTGCTGCTCTTACAAACACAACTCAACATCTATTCCATATCTAAGTGACCTGAATAAACTCTGTTGAATTTCTAAGACAAAGTCTTTCCTATAGTTTCGCTCTGAGTGAATGCTTTCTATTTTAGCTTTAGAATCTGTGCATATAACCACCCTGCCTGCTCTGACCTCCTCCACCCACTGAACTATTAATTGTGTATACAGACAGAAGGTCCGTTAATCTTTTACAGATGCATATATTAAACTCAGGAGATAATATCCATTTTCCCACACTTCCATTTGAATTTTTTGAACCATCCGTGTAAAATTTTAAATAACTAGAATACGATTGTCTAATATATAGGCTAGTTTTAACCCAACTTCATTATGTTTCCATTCTCTTTTCATTTCGTGTATTTTCAAGTCAACTTTTGTTTCAGGAAACAGCCATGGTGGCTCAGCACTGATTGGGTTATTTTTAGAGAATGTCTTATCATCTAACTCATATTTTAGCGTATTTGTTTCCTGTCCAGCCAAAGTTCTTCCTTCTAAATTTGGATTATTCCCAGAAGTTCTTTATTATGCTTGTTGCTGGGTTTTATTCACCATTACTTTTAATTGTGTCCTCCTTTTCTTCTTCTTCTACTTCTATTAGTTTAATAGCAGATTGCAACCTTGAATTTTACGTGCATAATGCCGCCTACTAGCATGAGCCATATCAATGTGATGATTTTATATACGTACATACACACATACGCATACATATATACATACATATACCCATATCTATATACACAATCTCTATACTATTATATCAATCCCTCTCTCTCTATTTAGGTGTATATATATACATACATATTTTTAAATCTTGTTGTATATACACTACCGTTCAATAGTTTGGAGTCACCCAGACAATTTTGTGTTTTCCTGAAAAGTCACACTTATTCACCGCCATACGTTGTGAAATGAATAGAAAATAGAGTCAAGACATTGACAAGGTAGAAATAACGATTCGTATTTAAAATAAGATTTTTTTTACATCAAACTTTGCTTTTGTCAAAGAATCCTTTATTTGCAGCTGTTACAGCATTGCAGACCTTTGACATTCTAGCTGTTAATTTGTTGAGGTTATCTGCAACCAATCCCACAAGTTGGATTGGTTGGATGGGCCCTTCTTGCGTACCATACAGTCAACCTGCTCCCACAACAGCTCAATGGGGTTCAGATCTGGTGACTGCGCTGGCCACTCCATTACAGATAGAATACCAGCTGCCTGCTTCTGCTCTAAATAGTTCTTGCTCAATTTGGAGGTGTGCTTAGGGTCATTGTCCTGTTGTAGGATGGAATTGGCTCCAATAAAATA